GGGGGGGGGGGGGGGGTAACCGTGAGTAAAGGTGATGTTATACGCGTTACAGTACCCCAAAGAGGTTGACCGTGACCTGCTCAATCTGCCGCTAAGGAGCTGATTCGGTGTATTCTTCTTGGCCACCGCACAGCAAAGCACCACGAAGACAAGCATTGCCTATAGTCTCTATTGTGGTTCCTTTTTGGGGATACCCTATAGAATCCGTAATATATAATTGGTTAAACCAAAAAAAGGAACTACAATGGAGACTATAGGTGCCGTGTAGAGCAGCTCCCCGACGGCCGCATAGCCGGCACTGAAGGGTGGCACAGGTGCCACCACGGCCAGGTGGGGTGCGCAGACGATCTTGTAGACGGCAGCAGCCATGAAAGCCCCCATGAACTGGAAGAGCCAGTAGATCATCACCCCGCCAAAGGACTTCTTCCCGACCAGGGCCATTGCAAACGTCACTGCTGGGTTAAGATGCCCACCCGAAATCGGACCTGTGGCATAGACCATCACCATCAGGACCGAGGCGATGGAAGTCGCCGACCAGGGAGATGGGGTCGGAGAAGTGACGACACATCCGACCGTGAACACAAGAGCAAAGGTTCCAAGGGCTTCTGCAAGAAGGGGAGCCAAGCCCTTTAGGAATGCATTCAAGAGGATCTTTGCATATTCGTCGGCGTTGCGCATCACTTCATTGAGAACCTCCTCTGGGGAGAGCCTCGCTGCGTCGCCAGACTGCCGTCCTTGAGCCTCAGGTAAAGGGGTTCCCTCTGATTAGCAAACCCACAGGTTGTGGACCCCAGCCGAACCCCAAAAATCATACTTCCCTAACCCTCCAGGTACCTACTATTCCCTAACCCCCCAGGTACCTGCTATATAGGGCCCCAGGGGCACTAGTACCCTTAATATAGGTACCTGTTGGGGGAGGTTAGGGTTTTTTTGTCACCCTTACAAGAATATCGAGCCTCAGGCGTCGGGGTTGAGCCGTAGCTGGCATCTGCCTGACCTTCCAGGAGACCCTGTGCCGGTGCTTCGGGGGACTCAGCGGCGGCCATATTTTTTGCAAAGTTTCAGTCAGCTTCGTGGGTTTTCGAAGCGTTGCTTGCGGGAAAGCTCAAAGCTTGAGCCACAGTGGCTCCCAGAAATAGTCAATAACAGGGTCTTTAGTTTCTAGAACTGCCGATAGACATGTCAGTGCTGTGCCGCATCATGATTCACACAGATTCCGGATGGCCTGGGGGAGGCTTCTCCTCGATGATGGAGATGCCCGCTTTGCTGATTTTGACCTGTTGGCAAGCTTTGGCTTTGCGGGTCTCCTGGGTGACCCGTGGGTTTGTTTCAAAACCCGAAACCGAAGATCCTTAAACTCCCGGGCGACACACCCTGTCCCTAGGCCGACAAGACCGCCTGGCGACAGTTTGTCGCAGTCGCACGGCGGCTGTACATGGACCTCTTTCTGTGGCTTTGGCTGGGTTTGTCCACACCACCACCGACCCTTGATTGTCGAGTCCCGAGGCCCTTACGTATCGGGGCTTATGAATACATAAGAGGGCAGCTTGGACACAGAAACTCATCTTACCCAAGACAGGCGATTTCCCTTTCAACAAGATCTCAGGAAAAAGATTACTGTCATCTCGAGGCTAAAGCCTCAAATAAATATACCTTGGAATTTCTCTATGTTAGCCTACATGTCTTGAACAAACTGTATTTGCTTCTCTGGGTACTTAGAGCCCTGATGCCGAGAGCCCAGGTCACTTGGCCTCCAGGTGCGTCGTCGAGCCTTGCCCCGGATTCCTGGGTTGTGTCAATAGACTACCGGTTTAGGGTTTTTTTCCCACCTTAGGGTTTAGGGTTTAGGGTTTAGGGTTTAGGGTTTAGGGGTTTAGGGTTTAGGGCTTAGGGTTTAGGGTTTAGTGTCAATAGACTAAGGTTACACCCATGGGCCCCTAGTATGGGCCCTTAACCCTGGGACCCTTCTATACCTACCATATACACTCCATGTACCCTTAAGGGTCCCTAGAAAGGCTCAAGAGTCCACATTAGGGGCCCATACTTCTAACCTTACAAATAGACTACGGCTGTCGTCTTGCCACCCACCTGACCCACCTAGCTGCCTTGAGACCACTACAAGGACACAAGCCCGCCACCCTATGCTCAAATAGTACATACCTCGGCCCTACAGTAGTCCCTGCAATCCCGCCTCGGAGTCAGAGAAATCCGAAAAAAAATCGCGGTGCAGCGCAGATCGAAGGAAAGCTCCAAAAACTCTAAACCCTAAACCCCTAAACCCTAAAGCTGCGAAGCCCTAAACCCCAAAGGTCCGAATCCCTGAAACCCACAGGCCCGGTGGCCGTGGCAATCAAATCCGAAAGTCTTAGAGGCTCCGGAAACTTTAAGGGTTTAGGGTTTAGGGCTTAGGGTTTAGGGTTTAGGGTTTAGGGCTTAGGGTTTGGGGTTTAGGGTTTAGGGCTTAGGGTTTAGGGTTTAGGGTGTACCCATA